ATTTCTGGCACCACCCCAGTAATAAATATGAAAATCCGTCTATGACTAAAAACGTAGTAAATTTTTAACAGAGTGTTAGCCGTAGCGTCATTGCGTAAACGCGGCCTAAGTTCAATGTCATATTACATAAATATATTTACAGTGCTCATATCTTTAAAAAATATGTACATATAGTTTAGCATCTTAATTAAAAATGCACAAGAATGTGTATTTGGCTTTGGCCCCTAAATTAAACTACTGTAATTCTTAAATTCTTCCAAGGTGTGATCGATTGTGAATTTTGGCAGATCTCCGCCACAGAGTTAAACATGGAATGCACCCTGGCAATTACAGACTTGATTATCACGCATCAGACCAGTGTAATCAGCCAATTCCCAATAGTTCAGAGGGAACCAAAATATAAGACAGTACCGCGCCCAAATATAAGGTAGCACACTGCTGTATATCAGACATTCCACCAGTGAGTTGTTAAATAAATACATCATCATCATGTGGTAAATATAGGTAATAGCATGGTTTCGAGTGCAATTTGGATATAACATGCACAAGTGAGTTTTTCAAAGACCTCAAAATAGCACGAGTTCGAAGGACGAGTGCTATTTGAGGTCTTTGAAAAACTCACGAGTGCATGTTTATCCAAATTTCACCATGAAACCATGCTATTACTTATTAATAATAATTTAAATAAAATGTTCGAACATTCCACTGGCAAAGTTTTCGATCCTGGCTTTGTTATATAATAATCACATTATACAACGCTAACAGCTTGAAAATTCCACTCAACTATGTAATTTTTGTTAGTCTTGTTTAGGTAAATGCTTTTCCATTTAAAAATAAAAGCCATATTCCCCACGCGAAGGCAACTTTTACTTTGTGTAGCGCGGCGCCATGTTTGTTTTGTTTTGAAGCAATCTGTGACCGTTACTTCTTTAATTAAATTAAACTAAATTGCTTTAAACTGATTGGTTGATTTAATCATTACAATGTTTTTCCACCAGTCAGATCAGTCTGTTACAGATTTTTGCACTGTGATTACAGAAACTTGCACTGTGACTACAGAAAATTGCACTGTGATTACAGAAAATTGCACTGCTGTTTGGGATTAACTGCACTGAAATCAATCAATCACAGTCGAGTAATATCTTTATGTATATTAATTATTATGTACTTTAAAACATAGCTTATGCATTAATTATAGGTTTGGCACATGAAAAGCATGGCATCAGTCTAAATCCATGTCGAACATGTGTCGGATAATATGACACGTGACTTGCCATATCTTGTGCCATGCCAAACCTATTCAAAACTTGCCAAACTTAATTGACTTAGACACTGCTCTTCTGTCGTATTCAATTGTTGTATATACATATATATAGGTTCGGCACACACGAAACCGGCATTAGTGTGTCTAAGTGGCTCATTATTTTCTGATCACTCAATTAACTCATCTCTAATCATAACAGCAAAACTTTAGCAACCAAATCTGATTAACGTAAATATACTCTTTGTTTCACCATTAAAGATGCGGTACAGTCTGATCTGCGCATGTGCACAAAGGAGCCCTCTTTTCTTTACAAACAGTTTATTTAGGTTTTTATTTCATTTTATGTTCTTGCAAAGCTTGATTGTTGTCTCTTCTTAATTTATTATACTCTAGAATAATGAAAATATATAGTTGTCGAATAAAATTCAATATTTTAGATACCGAAATGTAAACAAAGAATTTGTTTACATACAGACTGTACCGCATCTTTAAGTGCCAATGCTCTCCCATAATCCCATTGATAAGTAACATAGTCTGGCATTAACTAATGGGTACTAATTCCCCCCGGGCTATTTACACCCGGGGAAACAAAAGAATTAACAAAGTCTAAAGTTCACCAATAATTGCGGCGTGGCTCACTGTGCGTGGGTGGTCATCCTCACTGATCTCAAAAATATGGCGGACTGTCATGAATAGCGGACACTGATTGATCCAATTTAAAGTTTGCATTATAACAACTGCATGACGACAGCGAAATAGCAAACATTTCTTGATTTAATGATTGATAAATTTCTCGCAAATATATTTCATTTTTGCTCGCATTTTTGCAAGATTTTGTAAATTTCAAGTAAGAAATGGCAAAAGAATTGGCTAAAAGAAGGGAGCCAACGTTAACAAAAGTAAGTTTGTTTTAGATTATTAGATATTGATTTTATAATTGCTTTAAAACCCGACGGCCTTTGCGTATATGTACGAAACTAAACAAGACAGCATATAATTTCAGTGAGTGTATCTTTAATATTGATTCCCTTTTTTATTATATTGAATTTTTTAAATAAAGAAAGCAAAGTTTAATATTTGCATGCAAGAATTTTAAATCATTTTATTGCAAACTCAAAGTTTATCGATAAAGCCATTTAATTAAAGGCAGTTTTATAGTTTTATAAAGAACACTTTAAAACGTTTTGCGAAGCGTTTGTGGTGGAATTTTCGTGTTACGATGACAACTACTTTAGATACTTCATGTTCGGAAAATACAATCATGGTTTTGTCAGCAAGGCGAGGGTTTCTGCGTGCATGTATTTTCTAGTATGCCTTGGAAATTTTTCTTGAGTGGGAATAGTAATAATAATATTATAATATAAATGATGCCCCAGGGGGGGGGGTATCGGGCGTACCAACGGATTTGACAGCTACCTGCTTCCCCTGGGTCAGGAATTTGACAATAACATGAGCCCGAGGGTCAGGAATTTGAGAAGTTTAATCTTGCATTTTTCATCATGAGGCCTGGGAACACAGCCGTTCCGCACGTTGTAACCAATAATTTATTGGCGTTGTAATGCCATTGTATGCAATAAAGTATTGGTTACAATGGATTTACAATTAATCCAAACGCTAATCCTAACTCAAACCCTAACCCTAACCCTAATCCTAAC